ATGGGTGCCGTGGGTGCCGCGGCACCCCCACTAATTTTGAAGGAGCGCCTAGAAGCGGAATATTTAAAAATAAAAATCACCCATTTTTCACGTAATAAACATATTGATAACTAAATATGGAATCGTAAATTACTAAAGCGCACATAGTGTTTAGTAACCGAATTAACCCATACCAAACTATTTTTTTTATCTTTGAGAACAAAATATTGAATATGTAATCCAAGTAAATGAAATAATAAATGCGAACAAACTAAATCAATTTTAAATATTCAATTGTTGCTCGTTCAAATAAAAAAGTGGTCAAAAAACTAGGAACGTTATTTTTTAAACTGATCGTCTCACAGGCCTGTCAATCATAATTTAAAAGAGCGAACGCGATGCACAGTCTACAACCAAAAAATTTGGCATCGACAATGATGAACTTCGAGCAGAAGTCAGATTACTTCGAACGAAGAAAGATACGAAATCATTTCCATGCACAGTAATTGAATGGCTTAATTGGTTATCTATACAGAATAGAAAACTTTGTTACCCCACTTTTTATAAATTAGTATCTACGTTTGCGTCAATTCCTGTCACCAGTTGTACTTGTGAGCGTAGTTTCTCTAAACTTAGCATTATAAAATCAAAGCTACGCTCAACAATGTTGCAAGATCGTTTGGAAAATTTAATGGTTCCATTTATTGAACAAGACTTGGCGGTAAATATTGATCCTATTGAGGTAATTGAAGAATTTAAAAAAATTGTTCCTTTTGATAGACGCATAGTATTGTAAAATAAATTATATTTTTATCAAATTTGTAATTTTATCTAAGTATCTCTTTTTTTGTACCCCTTTTTCTAAACTTACATTATTTATAATTATCAATAAAAATAAAAAAATTTTGTACTCATCAAAGTCTAAAAAAAATATATACAAGCTGAGCAGAAAATTTGAAATTGGCACCCACACTAGTTGAACCCTGGCCACGCTAATGATTGTAATGATAATTGAGGTAGTGTTAGTGGATCAGGTCACGTCAGCAATAAAGTTATTCATAATTAGTATTTCAATTTATGTAGTAACGATGCGTAAAGCATTTTTCTTTATCACGACAAAATATTGAACAGATTGAAATATTTTATTTGTCATTATATGAGTAATGAGGGTACTTTTATAAACAAAAGATTCATGACAAATTACATTCGAATGGTTTGCTATGATTATGAACTGTAATAACGTGTCTTTCGCGCTCTGCCTGGTATGCGAAAGATTTATGTCAATTGGCACATTCAAAGGGATTACGCCGAACGTGTACTGTATTGGTGTGACCTTTTAGGTAGCTTTGATAATCAAATGATTTGTGACAATTATGACATTCGAGTTTCCAGAAAAAAAATCAGCACTCTTCATTACTTCAACGATGAGATAAATGTTATTCTCCGAGGAACTATTTGAAGCATAAATAACTGTAATAAGAAAAATCTTCTTTTTTCTTCCAATTCAATGAAGGTATATCTTAATGATGTTCGTGAACTATCATTTAGTGTTTCAAAATGAGAAAAGTAAGTAATTTTGGAGTTAGATTCGAATAATAAGGATAAGACTGTCATACTTGTGCTCATGTAATCTTTTGAAAAAAGAATTATCACAATTTTAAATGAAACTTTTTAATTTGATGTAGTGTTGGTAAATAAATTTGGTATTGGTTTGGTAAATAACTTTGTGATTGAACATAGTTCATTATTATTATAATATACAATACTACATTGTACAATTATCTTCTCATTGGGATGGTTTATTTTCCTTTTCTTCGGCGTTAATTATATACTGTCGATGGGTAACATAAAGTTCATCAGATCTTGCGAAAATATTTCCTTACACGATTGAAAAACATCGTGAATAGAAAATATTATCACCACTTCCAAGATTAAATTATTTTCGCGACGCGGTATAATACCTCGCGTCCTGAGCGTGGACTTAAAATCTTCATAATTTAACAGTCTTGCCGCTTTGTCGATTGGTAACTCCATGAGTTCATATACGGAGAGCGTTTGACTTGCTGGAATTCGTTTCGCCTCCATCGCGAAATATTCGTCTTTGAAAATGTCTTTAATATGACAAGCCGATAATGGGAACCGAACGTGCTCTATCAGTAGCTTGATTATGGCTACCGCTTCGTTTAATGCTAACTTTGAGCCTTGGTTTAATATATGTCGGACAACGAAGATAGCATCACAGATTACTTGGTATTTTGATGATGGACTTCTTGTACTCTCAGATAACTTAATGGCCAGGTACATCTTGAAATCGGCCGCACTGGGAAATTTGAACAGGGGCAGATCGGTACGGTAATTTAATAGTGCATATAACACATCCGGCAGTAAGTACTGCACAGCCAAATCCAGCGGTGTCTTTTTTAACTTATTTGCAACGGTGACGGACACATCCTTGTTGAGACCTTTGCACGTCTCGAGGAATACCTTCATCAAATCGTCATCGATTTTTCTGTAGCAAATGACGTGCAGAGGTTCATTTCCTTTGTTGTTGGCCACGTTTGGACTGGCACATTTTTTCAGCAGAGCTCTGGCCAAAGCTACGTGGCCGTTTGCCAGTGCCCAGTGCAATGGCGTGCAATCCGAGCTGTCAGCAAGGTCGACCAGCACCGTCATCCCGATGTCGTCGCAGATCGCGAACAACATCATCATCAAATTTTCGTTGTCGTCGTCTCGCTTGCAAATAACGTGCAGAGCAGTCGATCCGTCCTCATCTGCAACATTTGGATCGGCGCCAGCTCTGAGCAGCAATTCGACCGCCCGCTTCGATTCGTCGGTCACTGTTAAACGTAGCGATGCACGATCCGATGCATCGTGGCTCTCGAGATAACATTCTTGCAAAAGGTCGTGCAGTACATCCGTGGAGGAACGATTTACGCCGATTAGGGCCAGGTGCAAGGGAGTTTTACCCCCGGAGTCCCGAGCGTCGACCTTTACCATCGTCCCGATGTCTTTGCCGGCTTCTATGGAATTCTCCATCAAATCGACTTTGTCGGCACAAATCTCTTCTTGCGAACTCTTCGCACTTTCTTCTTCTTCTTCAGTCTTACAGTTGCTGCTTTCTCGCGAGCTTTTTGATTTTTCTCCTTCTTCGGTTTCGCAATCGTCATTGTCTCGCGAGCTTTTTGATTTTTCTCCTTCTTCGGTTTCGCAATCGTCATTGTCTCGTGAGCTCTTTGATTTTCCTAAATCACGCAGGATGATGTCAAACTTTCGGTTGGACTCGTCGTCGATAGTGGCCGATGGTTTGAAAAAGCAAGAACATAAAAACATTTTCGTTCAAAATTTAAGATATTTTTCACTATCTTCACGAAAATCACTTGCCACGGTCGATACGCGATCTGCCCACTGTGTTTACACTTCGACGACGTAAAGGATACTGACTATAGTATTATATATCCCCGACAAGATGTCGATCGCTGGATCGACTCGCTCATATTATGCGAATATATATAATTATTAGATAACTACAAAAAACACTAGCCCCTTTCAGCACTCGCTCAAATCACGCTCGACACGACTTTGTAGATTCATACAACAAAAAATACATCTACATGCGCAGTCCTAGCCCGGCTAAATCTTGCCGGACCGTAACTTTATGTCTTTCTCATCGCCGTCGTGCTTCGACTGCTCTCTTCGCTGTCGTACAAGCTCCAAATTCTTCGGGAGTGATTCGAATGCATACTTTCAACTTAGGAATTTCAGCTTGGATCAACGATGTGAAAGATGTTTTTTGGAAGTAGCCGATGTGCACAAAGAAAGAGTCGCAGCCGGAGGTGAAGTAGAGTTCGATTATTTAAGTTTAACGTACGTGAGAAATGTTCGCGAGAAACTTGAAAAAAATGCAATAACAACCGCCAAGATGACAGCTTTATGAATAATTCTGTGATGGTGTACCGGCTGCGGTCCGTATCTTAAGAAGGAGAAAAAAGTTTACAGCTCGATTAACCGTCAATTCGATACAGACAATTATACTGAAAAATTGACGTGAAAAATTTTTTATTCGTCGATTCTCTCTTTTGAAAAATAATGTAGCTTTTTTTTCAAATTGTAATTTTTTTTTATTATCGCGAAAGATCATATAGAATCAATCTTAGCTAACTTGGAATTGTACTGAATTGTTTTATCGCGTAAAACACTCATACACTCATTTGAATTGTCACTTTACGATTTGTATACCCAAGAAAACCGTAAAATTTGATTAAAATTTTCTGGATTAATTCAAGTTGAGCAATTTGGTTTTTTATAAGAATATTTATTGGTTTTCTTAAAACTCAACGTTTTTTTCAAGTAGTCAAATTGAAAAACACAAGTAATCTAAAATATGATGATAATTGTTTTTTACAAAATTGAATATACATTTTATATATTTATTTGATCATAATGCGTGAAAGAAGCTCCATATTAATGCCAGTTTTGAGCCTAATCATTTGTCTCAATATTTTTTTGTTGTGTATTGTTAGTTGTCGTTTTAAAATATTTTGCAGACATTTTTTTTCCGCATTGATCACGTGCATGGGTTAGCCAACATGTACACATCTGAGGTGTTTATTTAGATAGCTCTTTGATGCAAATGACTTTCCACATAATTATTCACGGGCGTGAATATTATTACCGTGCGATGCTTCGACATGTTTCTTGAGAGTCCTTTTTAGCGCAAACGTTTTACCGCATGTATTACATGTGTGAGTTATTTGATTATGGATTGAATCCACGTGGATTTTCAGTACATCCTTTCGTGAAAATGTCTTGCCGCACGTATTACATGGGTGGGTGATCTTATTATGCATTGAATTCATGTGTATTTTAAGATTGCCTTTAGACTTGAATGTCTTTACGCACATTTCGCATGTAGGTTCCATACCATTATGAATTGCATCAATGTGAATTTTGAGATGTCCTTTTTGTGTGAATGTCTTTTCACATATACTACACGTATGCTTAACACCATCGTGTACTCCATCGATATGAATCTTGAGTCCAGCTTTAGTTGAAAATTTCGTTCCGCACATTTCGCATGTTGGTGCCATACCATTATGAATAGCATCGATGTGAATTTTGAGATCACCTTTTTGTGTGAATGTCTTTTCACATATACCACACGCATGTTTAACACCATTATGTACTCCATCGATATGGATCTTGAGTTTAGTCTTCGCTTGAAATTTCTTTCCGCATATTTCGCAAGTTGGTGCCATACCATTATGAATCGCATCGACGTGAATCTTGAGATAACGTTTTTGTGAGAAGGCCTTTGCACATAGACCACAAGCATGGTTAACACCATTATGAACTTCATCGATGTGAATTTTGAGATTAGTCTTCGTTTGAAATTTCTTTCCGCATATTTCGCAAGTTGGTGCCATACCATTATGAATCGCATCAATGTGAATCTTGAGATAACGTTTTTGTGTGAAGGCCTTTGCACATAGACCACAAGCATGGTTAACACCATTATGAACTTTATCGATGTGAATTTTGAGATTTCCTTTTTGTGTGAATGTCTTTTCACATATATTACACGCATGTTTAACACCATTATGAATCGCATCGATGTGAATTTTGAGATTCCCTTTCTGTGGGAATGTCTTTCCACATGTAACACACATATGCTTGACGTCATTATGAACTGCATCGATGTGCATTTTAAGATTACTTTTTTTTGTAAATTTCTGACCACATATATTACATGGATGTTGGGTACGATCGCGTGCCTTATCAGTTTGGGTTTTGCATTGACTATTTTGAGCAAATGTTTTTTTATTTGTATCAAATGTATCACTGAGTTCATCATCTAAATTCAATTCCTCTTTTACTTCGTCGACAATTTCTTCTTTAATTTTCTTTTGGGTCTGATAATCGAAACTATTTTTCATATACTGCAAATGATCTGGATAATCGTTCTCGATTTTCTTAACTACTAATAAGTCAATGCCGAGCTTCTCGTCCTTACATTCGAATTCTATTTCCAAATCAGCATTAGGTCCAGAATTTTCATCATATTCTTGAAGCTTATGAGTCTGAAAATGTAATTTCTGATTAGTAAAATAATACTTGTTACAAATGTTGACTATAACAGTCCCATATCCACACTCACTAAATTTTCTCGACGAAAACTCGAGAATTCGTCGGTTTCAACATCGTATGTATTATCAATTATCTTATAATCTTCATTTTCAATTGGGAAAACGTCATTTGGTTCCTCCTTGACTCTGCAATATTCACATTGAAATCAAGTATAATACTACAAATTTTTTTGAATTCCATTCTCACGAAATAATAATTACCTGACATTACAGTTATATACACCACTGAGTTCCATGTTTATCACTCGGAACTTGATCAACGACTAATTGCTCAGTAATGATGTTACACATCGAACTAGGTAACTTATAGATGTGATAATATTTACAAATCGTGAAATGAAAGTGTGAGAACATTTATGTCAACAGAGCTGAAGAGATCATTCCAAATTGGTCTCCGGTGTACTAAACAATTAACAATTTTCTAGTGATTGTACTTTGCTAAATACGGTATAAAAAATATCGTATAAAAATTTTTTTCATGTCTATGCAATTTTTTTTTTCTCCACTCACACGCGCGAGCATAACAAACTCCGTTTCTGCCTCGTACTCAGCCGACGAATCATCGGATACGATGTATACCTGTACATCGGCGCAGCCAGTGCCACAGTCGCGCTCGTTGCCGACGTTTTCGGAGCGTCAATAAATACATCGATACGGCGCGAAGGGTGTAAAAGCAACGAGGAACCGAAAGATGAATGAAATCTGCAGCTCGAGCTGTGAAATTCAGCGATCCGGTGCGCGTATAGACGCGAGTCCGACAGTATTCATGTTTCTACACAGATAGATGGGGCGTAATCTCCTATAACGCGTACCCACCGACTTCGACCGTCTGAAAATCTTAATTTTTAACTAAAAAAAAGGATTTTCAAAAAGTTCTTTTTTAGCTAGAAAAAGAAAAGAAAGCTTACATTTTTTTATGGTGGCATTGAAAGGTGAGGAAAAAATAAATCAATACCACGTATTATTCTCTTCAAGTGCACGGCCGAATGTGCGATAAAAGATTACACGTAACTCGCCCCGGTAATATGTACTGTTCGTTCGGGCTCTCGATGCATCGGAAAAATTGAGCAATGATTGATCCCGTAGAGCCAGATCACAAATGAGGCCAACTTTTGTTCTTGCTAAATCAAGCTTCAAACGCAAGAACAAGTAACGTCGTTGGAAGAAACTACGACAATTCGATGATCCTTCCTCGCGTGCACCGCAACGCGTACACACAGACACACACATAATCTCGGGGCCAAGCTAGTATGGCTCAGAAACAGACGTCACATTATTATTTCCATTAAAATTTAAGTGTACAGCACGCAGGTACACGTGGAGCGCTGCAATTATAAATAAACAAACACGGAGAAATGTGCCTTTGTCAAAGCAGTCCGCCACGTAGCTCAGCTTCCTTGACTCGCGAAACTCGAATGCTAGCCAAGCTAGGGTCTCATTTTCAGGCAGTTGCGACGGGCCGTCAGTTTTCCTCTTTGCGGAAAAGCCTCTGAGATTGGATATTTGATGAACGATTGGCTGAGTAACTCACTTTTACCGTGAGGTTCGTGAAAAATACTTTGTGCCTAATGGAGCTTGGATGTGCGATCGAACTGTCCATAATACGTTCCAATACACAGAGACGCGTGACTATTATTTGGAACGTTCGATCTGCCGAGCTGCCCTTTTCATCCGGAAAGAATCTGAAAATCTACGCGTGGACTGGCGAATCGAAGCTCGGAGCCCTTGCAAATGTGTCCCCGGTTATAGCGCCCAGTGCTTTCATCATTATTAACGTGCTGATTATCGAACGAATGGCAAATTTTTTTTTTTTCAACAAAGTCGAAGTAAAGAATGATTCGAATGATGGGAAAATCAATAGATTCGATGGGTTTTTTTTGAAATTTATTTATTCGAATGATATGAAAAATGTAATGACTCCAGACATCATAACAGTGATTGCCAATATGATTGATGTCGTCAGGAGCTTAGGCTTGCAGCTGTCAAGCAAATATCATGTAAATCTCTGTTCGTGTATGTGCCATTGGTGATCAATTCACGGCCCTCGATTGGCAGTCCATTCAGCGGCAGCTCCGAAAAGGAGTCCAGGGCCCATCGCCGGAAGAATCCTCTCGACATCGTCTCGCACAGATGCGCAGTACAAGCTTGACGAAGCTTTTCGGATAGACCGTGCCAATTATACGAGTCCACAAAGTCGCTATAGTCCGAATAGGAGAGTTTTTTTTCCGCCTCTTCGGGCCTTAACTTGACCAAGTCGTATAGCGACCGGTTCGGCTTCATCATCATCTCTTTTGCTTTGTTCGCGAACTCCTCGTCGTCGTACCAAGATGTATCGAGATTCATCGGCTCATAATAGAATCTGTGCTTGGTGAAAATTCCCATGATTTTCAGGGCGTCGTCTCGGTTCAGTTTGTATCCTCTATTCTCGAGTATGTCAACCATGATCAGAGCGCGAGACCCCCATCTCAATCTATTCATGTAACTGCAATTAATGACTCTTTGAAATGCCGCTGGTATCAAATTCTTAGCAAAATAACTCTCAGAGGGAAAAACGAAGCTGGACAGATCAGCGCCGTATTTCAAGAGTACATCGAGAGTTTTTGCTGCACGGCTCAACACAGCTAATTGCAGTGGTGTACGGCCCAACTTGTCCTTTGCATCGATCTCCACTGTCCGCTTGATTTTTTTATTCATAATGAAGAAAAACTCCGCCAAGCCATCGACATCGTCGTATCTATCGCAAATGATATGCAGAGGAGTTAATCCCTCTGCATTAGCTAAATTGGAATCAGCGCCT